AAAGTCATACACAGCGGGGTCGAACCCGTCCTCACGATTTCCGGCAAGTGCGCTATCGTGACGCAACAGGAGGGACATCATGGTTGTGAATTCCAAAGGGGGAATGAGTGTTTTGGTCGAGGTAGAAGAAGGTACTTTCGTGTATAGTTTTATTTATTACTGGATTCGTCCGTCTCAAACATTCTTCTCTGGGGTTTCATAAGGATAGGGTTGTATCGAGGATAAGATAGGGTCGTATCGAGGAGGTAAGGGTGGAGGAGTGGAGGGGTCGTATGCAGGAACATTTTTTATTACAACCCACGCGCACTCTTATTTTTTTTGCTTGCTAGGGTCATATTCAATAATTGTGAAATATTGTTCGCTGAGATTGAAGTCCATTGACGTGCTTTCTTTTCTTTCTGGTTGATATGTAACAGTTTTGTGTAGTTAATGTTTGTAACTATGACGCTAGCCACCAAGTGAGTGGGTTTATTATAACAGCTGTGTTACCTTCTCGTTAACAAGAATGTTCCTTTGTTGATATTCCGGTCACTCCCACTATTTTTTCGATATTGACGATTAAAATTAGTTTCCAATGCGCGGAAGGGTTTTGAGAGAAACATTCGGGTTTTGAGAAGAAACTTCTGGGGGATTAGTGTTTTTTTTTGTTTCGACACGCATTATCCCCAACGTTTTGGTACATCACGAGAGGGCAGGTTGGGGCATACAAGAGGAGAACGTTTGTGAGTGAGGAGAGTTATAATTTTTGCAGAAATGTTCGACAGAAAAAGCCTGCTTGGAAAGGACCTTTTCACTCAATATTACGGCCCCTTTATATGTTGTTATCTTAATCATCAATACGGGGCCTTCAAGAGTTGTGATATTCTTAAAGGCACATTCGCGATAATAAAGTCTATGACTTCTCAAATGTGTCGGAGATCAGAAAGCGAGTTTAGGCGCGGTTACCTTAATGTGAAAAACCGCGCAAGAAATCCGCTAGAGTGACTATTTAGGCCTATTGACCCTTAGGGCCCATGCGCTTCACCGGCTGGTAGTCTATCGCTAGTACCAGTATGTTATCTTTTATCTTAACTATGGACTGTTGTTTCTTGCTGCTTTTCCGTTAATCAGATACTTAGCACTTTTTAATGCCTATCTGAGTTCCGTTTCCCGCAATATGCGGTCGCGGACTGTGCCTTTAATTAACAGGCTTTGGTTCCAGGCTTTGGTGAATGGAGATAGTGGTAAGGTATAGTTGTGGTTAATGCTAGTGAGCGCAATGAACTAATTTTGCACTTTCTATGAGGCAGGTAAGAGTTAAACTGGCTGTGGGAGGACGATCTGCGCTGTTTCCGTAGTGGGAAGTTTCCTAGGAATGGCGTAATTAGGCCCTGAAGCAGCGTTAAATTTATATTGAACTGAATGATGAATGTGCTGTTACTATGGCGCAAGTCGTTTGGGGGCATGCGAAAGACTCTTTGTGCAGAACTAGGATCATCTTATTAGAATTCCTGCCTAAGCGCTGGAGTTGAAAGGAGCCGTGACATCAGGGTATGTAATCGGACTCGTGGAATGACGGTAACTTTTAGGAGTTTTCCCATGCAGTTTTCCCCTGCCAACACAGGAAAAGATGGATGAGACAGCCTGCGTGAAACAGGAAAAGTCAGGCAATCAAGAAACTTCTGCCGATGTCAAATACGATCCTCTTCCCGAGCGATGAAATACAACCCTTCCCACCGTGATGGGTTTCGCATAGCAATGTACGGTGTCCGGCATTGGTGGGCCTATCTCACAATGCTAAAGATCGTTTCCCTTAGTTTCCTAGTACTAGTGTAGTAGTGAAAGTCCTTCAAATGCAACCGCACCCCTCTTTAGACGATGTCGCGTTGTTCTGTCTGATTTTAAGTATTATGGAATATCACTGGCTCAGAAAATCTGTGGAATTTTTTCACATTCGCCAGGGGACCGATCCTTACCGGAATATTTCCGTCACATTTCGTTGAGTGATAGGCATACCTTTGATGACCAAGCGGTCACAGATGTACCCCTGCCTGGATTCACCTCTACTCAAGTTTTTTATTAAGTGTTTCATCAGTTTTCTTGGTGACCTGGAAGGCTACTTAGCACCCGTACTTCCACTTCAGCATGAAATCTCAGCCTCACTTTATCGTGCCCACTGTGAGGCAAGTTTAACCGAGCCGTTGCGTTTCCTATTACGCTACCGGGGCCACTTTTGACCACTCAGCTCAATGGCTATTTGTGCCATAGCCTTACAGCACACGTTCAACGTGATGAGCCGGTTAGCCGATATCGGCAGTGAACCGCAAGGCTGAAGGCTTTTTACAAGTTTCAAGCTGTTATTGTTTGATAACTGCTGTTTAACGCCGCAGTACGCGATCCGAAAGCTATCACAAGAATGCAGAAGATGCGGGTTCGAATCCCGTCCGTGGTCCGACTTTTGCCCACAACTCAGCATTCTTGTGATAGCTTTCGGATCGCGTACTGCGGCGTTAAACAGCAGTTATCAAACAATAACAGCTTGAAACTTGTAAAAAGCCTTCAGCCTTGCGGTTCACTGCCGATATCGGCTAACCGGCTCATCACGTTGAACGTGTGAGTGCTCGAAGGCAATGGCACAAATAGCCATTGAGCTGAGTTAAAGTAATAGGGAACGCAACTGCGGTAAGCAGAAGATGCGAGTCCGAACTAGTGGTCCGACCTCAGCATTCTTGTGATAGCTCTCGGATCGCCTACTGCGGCATTAAACAGCAGCCAGCAAACAATAGCAGCAAGTTTAACCGTTTCGGGTTCTTAACAGCACCAGTGCAGTGGCAGTAGAGCGTGGTGGTTCAGATAATTAATAGGGCCTTCGAATTCCTATATTTTTCGTAGTTCTATTTTTCATATAGTTTCATATTTGTATATATTTCACATCTTATTTTATGATCTCATAAAATTCTAAGCTGCAGCTCAAAATCCGTTATACATTCAGTGAATGGTCATATCATGCCGCTTTTACTTTCCGGCAGCGACTTCCGCGCCTGTTTTTTGGCTTCATTTGGCTCTTATCACCACTCTTATCAGCGGGACTGTGTAACATGGTATGTGGACTTTGTGGTAAGAAATCGGCTCGAGAAAAAGTTGTTACCGGCTTGCCTATGCGGACAGGGATCAGGGTACGGCGTCGTTGTTTGGGACCGTACTTGACCACTAAGAATCTTCAGGGAAAAATTTTTAACTTCAAGAAGAATTTTTTAATTCTTTTTAACTTGGGTAAGGCGCTTGCGCCATGTGCCCTCCGTACCAAAGTAGAGAGAACGTTCGGTGGTTTCTATCCTCCTTTCATGCTTTTACCAGCAAAATGCTGGTAAAAATCGGAGATGGTATCTAGTTTGTGATAGGTGGTCGTACAGGAGGAGACGGGGAGGGGAGAGGCGTCACCGACAGCACCACTTTACCAAATTTTTGGTAAAATTTTGCTTGGCTTTGGTACCCTGGTATGAATGCTAACTAGAGGCCGGCCATTTTGTCAGAGGTCTTAAATACAGTTGGACGACTTGAACACTGGCTGGTACAATTCCTTTCACATATCTTACTAAGGGAGGCGGGCTGATAGTGGCACGTTTACCACGAGGTCCCGGATCTGTTCCCGCTCAAGCCACCAAGCTGTCGGCTTTCTGCAGATAGTATATTGGCACCAGGGCACAAAACATTTACTTGTTCATCGGCTGGATCCTCGCAAGTCATTGTATAGGCCACATCGCATTCAATAAGCCACTACGATTCTGAATGGAAGTAGAATGCGTGCCGCATCCCACAAAGGGATTGATGAACGGCGAAGACTTCATCACTTTATTCTTTTCTTGCAAAGCAGACTGATTAATAAAGAAATTGCAAAGCTTTCTTGGTTGATCAATCCTTTGGCGTACGCCAAGCTTTTACTATGTATAATCGTAATAGCATTTTTGAATGCGACTTGGCTTATGCAATGGCTTGCGGAAGTCAGCGAGGGTCGCACTTTTCCAATGTTCTTATCTTACCAGGCACGTCTGGTGCCAAGAGACGGGGTCCAAGGTAGGCGTCTGGGACGTAAAGTTGTTGCTCAATAGGGCGTTATAGAGGTATCCTCCCTGGAAAAGGCTTTACGCAGCGCCTGTCCGAGGTCACGGAATTCTATTAAGCCCGTTGTACAAATCCTACACCTGTATAATGATTTATCGTGCCAACTGCCTTTAAACAGCAGCCAGCAAACAATAGCAGCAAGTTTAACCGTTTCGGGTTCTTAACAGCACCAGTGCAGTGGCAGTAGAGCGTGGTGGTTCAGATAATTAATAGGGCCTTCGAATTCCTATATTTTTCGTAGTTCTATTTTTCATATAGTTTCATATTTGTATATATTTCACATCTTATTTTATGATCTCATAAAATTCTAAGCTGCAGCTCAAAATCCGTTATACATTCAGTGAATGGTCATATCATGCCGCTTTTACTTTCCGGCAGCGACTTCCGCGCCTGTTTTTTGGCTTCATTTGGCTCTTATCACCACTCTTATCAGCGGGACTGTGTAACATGGTATGTGGACTTTGTGGTAAGAAATCGGCTC